AGGTGTAATAATTTTTTTTTCTGGATAGTTTCTAATATCCTATCTAAGAGGTAACGAAACGGCGGAGCCAGTTTACGAATATCATATAATGTGATTATGTATAATATTTTAACCAACCCGTCAAAATTAACACTTTAAGATATTAATTTAATAGATGATCTATTGCTTTGTCATCCTTTACTCAAACTTATTAACTTTAAATAATTGGGATAACATAAATTTACTTACTTCTTTTTTTCTTCCAAATTGCTGTGAGATGATTCGATAAATATTTCGATATGTATATATACACTTATAAGTGTTCGATTCGTACTTTGTCACAAAAATAGAAAATTAAAATAAATTCTTTTCGAATGTATATAATCAAGACTCATAAAAAAATAGCCGACAACAACACGGGGTTGTGGCTAAAAATTGATTTCTTATTTGAATTCGGTGAAAGCGAACTCTCGTCACTCTCTCCCTCTCTTAAAGGATTTCCATGCTTTTTATAGGAAATGATAGTACCCCCAATCCAGGGATATGTTGTCAGTGCTTTTGGTGATCTTTTTAATTTATTATATTTAATTATACATTACATGATTATTGTATTGAGATAGCATATTTAACAATGGGTAAATTGACATATATAATATATATATTATTATATTATATAAATAGTAAGATATTGTGTTGAACAGTGTATAAAATATAACAGATAAGATATTTGTTTGTTTACAAGTAATATAAAATAAAGATTATAAATTTTTCATTAATAATTATCAATTACATTATATACGTATATGACAAGCAATTGACCATATACGACACCTCTAACCAATATTTAGTGTATAAATATTGGGTTAGATCTCTTTTTCTCTGATAAAATTTTTACACATTATATGCCCTAAAAATTTAACTAAAAAACATTAAAGAGAGATATCGCTATTAATTTATTTCTTAAAATATATTTTATAAAATGGCTATCTTGAATTTTAGCTTCGATTCGAAGCTGTGTAGATATTGGTTGTATGATGATGTATTTTTTTTTATGTCTGCATAAAATTTCTCAGCTTTCACTGAACTGATGCTATTGGCTTATGAGTTAAAAAACCCCGATTTTAATCTAGTTAAATTTAACACTGCCAAAAATTTGGAAAAATGTCCTCTATTTTAATATTTTTTATTAAATATCTCAAAATTACGCTACTTTAAAAAATGATAATTTCAAAATATTTTTTCTACATTTTAAAACTGTATGTAATTTATTTTATAGTGAGCCAAAAGTAAGGATTTGGTTGTGATATAATATAATAAATAAAATTGGGTGTGTTGATTAATTAATTTGAATTTTTGAGCACTTAAATAAATTTAATTATCTTACTTTCGGTTACTATAATTCAGTTTGTTCAATATTATTGGGGTCGTGGAGTCCGAGGGTTTTAGAGAATGACAATACAATTTAATAAAAGGGTTATGATAAATATTGAGATTTAATGTGTGTATCAAATTTTATAAAACTTTGGTGAATCATTTGAATAGTCTCACGTTTCAAAGAGCACGAGCTTATGTCGGCAACTATGAAACGTAATAAGAAAATGCGTAGGTACGATCTTTGGTCAAGCACTTCGAACGCATTTAATAATTATTTTGACAAACCAGTCAATAAATTTAGTATGTGTATTAAACTTATAAAACTTAGTAAATCATTTGAATAGTCTCACGTTTCAAAGAGCACGAGCTTATGTCGGCAACTATGAAACGTAATAAGAAAATGCGTAGGTACGATCTTTGGTCAAGCACTTCGAACGCATTTAATAATTCTCATGAAAAACCAGTTAATAAATTTAGTATGTGTAAAGATAAATTAATTACTATTGTTTTGTCATTTTCTTCTCGGATTAAATAATTCCAAGTTATTGGAATTAAAATGTATCACCTACTTTATGTTTGTGCGGAATTGAAATGAATAAGACTGACAAGTTTTTCTTTCTGAATATTTGAGAGACTGGTGGTCTATTGCTTCATTTGACTCTAGGCTTGAGAAGTGGAATGTTCATATTTTATAGCTTTTTACGGCTTTTTATATGAAATCTATGATCTATATATATATGTCACTAAAATGTAGAAATTGACCACCAGAGCTCTCATCTTTATTGAAACGAAAATTATAAGCAGGGATAATATATTGCATTGGTTGTGGTACATTTGATTTTTGTTAGGGATACTGTTACTTAATACATTGTCTTTGTAGATTAATTTACAGTGTTTACATTTATGATACAGATATTAATTTTAAACTGAACAAGTACAAACATTGTATTAATTACATTAGTGATTATGCTATGATATCAATTTAAGATAATTATTTGTTTTATGATAAACATTGCGAATAATATTAAATTTGAGCGATGAACGGTATCACAACAANTTATTTGTTTTATGATAAACATTGCGAATAATATTAAATTTGAGCGATCAACGGTATCACAACAATTTTTTCTTACCTAATATATAATGACCACGAAAAATAAACTTAAAAATTTAACTAAAAGGTTAAAAATTATTTAAATAAAACAATAAAACGTTCAAAATTTTATTATTAAAATCAAATAAACCTGTAATTTCATATAAGTTTGCTGATTTTTCATAATTTTTAATTAAAATTATACTGATGTATAATTTTATCATAATATAAAATTGTATTCTTATGTTATTTATAATATTCAATATAAATTAATTGTTTTATTAAAAAAATAATTGAAAAGTATTTATGATCAACTGTCACTTAAAAATATTTTCAAGAATATCATATATTTTAGCTTAAGCTGTATTTTTAAAAAAAGGTATAAATTTTTTAGATTAGTGAATAATTCTTTTTCTACTTATAAAATATATAAATATCAGCCAAATTGTATGTATATATAAAAAAAAAATTCAAAAACTTTAAACTTACTTGAGACCTACTAGAAATATACCATATAATGACTTTAGTTATGACATCCACGCTATCAATTTTTCACTTAAAATATTGAAACTAAAAAATTTCTATTCTTTAGTAAAATTAAACTATTTTTATGTACTAATCATAATATTTGACCAAAAGTTGAATAACAGAGGCCTGTTTTTGTTTTTTGGAGTATTTTTGGTCAAAATACTAAAAACACGTTGAGCGACCAGTAAATTTTTTTTTAAAAATCTCAAATCTTTACAAAATGCCTATTTTAATGAATATAATAAAGTTAAAAGGGTTCTCATTAAAATTTCGAAAATTGACTTTTTTTTATTTATATCATTATAGTCTTATGCTTTAATAGGTTTTTAAAAAAGAAATTAACGGTAAAAATTTAGCTAATCAATAGTTACAGGATTTATCATAATATGGTGGGACACCCTATTATGTTATATTTTAATAAAACATTTTCACATTTCTCAAATAATATTATATATTTTGAATATGTATTTTTTGGAATACTTATAAATATTGAAATAATAATGTTAAATTCAAATTGTTGATCAAGTAAGATAATTTATATGAAATTTAAAGCTATTTTTCATTAAATATGTACGTTTTTCTTTATAAAAATTCATTAAAGATTCTAATGTCAAAAACTTTTGAGTAATATTGAATCAACTTCGTATAATATTAAAAAAAATTAATAATATGCATAATATATATTATTAAGTAATAGCTTTATACTATACATGTAATAAAGATTATTTATGAAAAATATTTACACTGTGTTAATTATATATATATATATATGTGTGTGTCTAATAAACGGTACAGTGATTTTATGGGAGACAGAGATATGGGCACCACATGCAAATGTGATCGTATCAGTAGTTTCAGTAAGCTTAATCTAAGAATAAAAAAAAATAGTTTATTCAATAAGTAATGTAATCAATAAGTAAAAATAGTCAAAAGTCTATAGTAAAAACATTTTTAATTGTTCAATTGTGTCATTTTTAATAAATGACACATAGGCCAAAATATAAAATTTGTGTAAAAAAAATATTTTTGCACGAATTTTTAATATTGATAGAAATAATTTTTTTTTAACTGAAATATAATATCATTGCTGAGCGCTGGATTGAGGCTAAAAAGCCCACTGAAATTTTTACCTAAAAGTCCTATTGATACTAACTTATTGATTAGTCGATGATCTTTTCTTTTAGTTTATCAATTTTTTTAAAAAAGAAAAAAAATTATTTTGCCCTTCTTAAAAATTTCTCATTAATGTCATAGTTACGGAAGGGATCCAATGGGTCCCTGCTAATATAATTATCATGGTAGTTAAAGGTTAAATTCCCCACAATTCTATTTTTAGAACGTTATTACTTATTAAAAAAGCAATAAAACAGCTATATTTAGACAAAGAATTATTTGCATATGTAAAAGAAGTCTTCTATATTTTTTCAGAGACAATTTCATGTGTGTAAATACCTCCAACACTTTATTAACTTTATCTTTTATGTTTATAACAAATGGTCATAATTGCCAAAATAATAATTTAGAAAAAAATTAAACAGCAGGTTAAGGCTGGTTTTATATTATTAATATAGGCCAAATATTACCACGGACACCTAATTATAGGGCCCACAGAGAATTTTTCGATAAATCTCCTAGCTATGCTTGTCAATGTTCAAGGCACATGTTCTTTTTTGCTTTTCACCCTTAATACGTCTCTAATTACTTATAAGTAATAATTTTTGTAAGTAATTTAGTTGGAGGATTTTATATTTTCCCTCCATCTAAAACCTTAACTAATCACATTTACACACAAAATAATCTTGTAGCATAATAATTATTCTTATATTTGCCAAAATCGTAAGACTTTGAATTAATATTGAACACGCAATTTGTTTGGTACAAAAACGTTAGATTTTTTTTTTTAATTCTAAAGGACTATTTTATTGTTTAACGAATCACCTAGTAGTATTAATTATCATAAGCTGTCGAAAACGAAAGTGAAAGAGGCGTATGGAAGTGTCAGTATTGGCCATGTCGTTCGTATTAGAGGGGCACGTGTTCGATGTCAAACAAATAAAACAAAAATCCTCGAGCCGACAATAACCGAAATCCTTTCAGTTTATGATCGCTTGTTGTCGAAACGTTTTGGACTTATCATTTCTATTATTAGCAGTCTGTTAAATTTTTAAAAGTTCGTCACCGAATGAAATAATAAAACTGGATTAAAATTTGATTGTAGAAAATATTAAAATTAAAACATGATCGGGGTGTCGTTGGTGTTCGGCTCTTGTATACTATTCATTAGCAATGGAATAGGCCTAATAAGAGCTTACGACCAATGCAATTCATCACTTTTTGTTGATAACGACAGTGGTTTTATGGGATGTAATCGTATGAACAAATCGAGTATTCAACAGTTTGCGTACAAGCCAAATGTTTCGTTGAATAACAATAACATTTCAGTCCTCATGCAAGTTATTAATGAAAACTTGATAAGTAAGTATAAAAGAAATATATTTAAATCTTAATGTACATTTAGAGATAGTAATTTATTTTTGTTTAATCATAATGCCATGAGTATAGTGTGAATTGTACTTATAGAGGTAATTTAGGATGGCCAAAAGAGGACACTTTATTAGAGATAATTTCTAATAAGGATATAAAATATTTTGAATTTTTATAAAATTAAATAAAAACCTCTATAAAATTTGATCCAATCATACCTATTAGTCATTTTTTCTTTTTTAGGAGTCACTTCTGTATTTTTTTAATTTTCGTTATACTTAGCGAAAACCATTTATGTAATATATAGTCGTATATTATGTGATTAGACGTCTTATAAAAAGATTAAAACTTCAATTACATTTAAAAAAAGAGTATTATGCAGGGATTAAGGTATTGATTATTGGAGGGGGGGGGGTTGAAAACAAAATCCTTCACTCCATTTATTTGAGTAATATTTGTTGACAAGTAAAAATTTTTCGTAATAAGTGGTTTGAGCTCTTTCAAAATTTCTGATACCCACTTGTTATACAAGTTACGAAAACGAAAACTACAGTGTAATCAATACTATAAAGATAGTTTTTAAGACGTGAATTTAAATATTAATTTTGAAAAATATATTAAATTAAATGTTATGTCACATTACAGAAGAATAATCTTACTATTTATCACAATAACTAAGAAAGAATTATTTATGTTCATAATTACACATTAGGGGATAAGGTTAAGTACCATAGAAATTCAAAAGCCTCCCAAATTTTATTCTTAAAATTAATTGATATAAATAAAAACATTAAAGAAGTTTTAACCGTTAATTGCATAATTATTTATATTTAAATAAAAAATTTTTTTCATGAAAAATGAAAACATCAGAAAAATAAGAAAAAAAATTTATATGCATTTTAAGTGTAAAAATTAAACTCATAATGATTGCACTCGTATAACAATAAATATATATATTTTATTTTTTAACCGTTTGGACAGTTCTTTTTAGAACATCAATAATTTTCCTTAAATACACCAAATATTAATATATATAAACTATAATATTAATTATATATTTAAAGTATTAAAGCAGAAAAAAAAATTGAAAACATTTTTTTTTAATCTTCTAAAAACACATATCTTTTGTTTTATCTTCATACTTTTAATGAAAGTGGCAAAAGTAAATAAACATCTATTTATATAAGAATTCTATAAATCGGAGTTATTTTTCAACTTTTATTTATTTTGTAATTAATTACTTATATAACCATGAAAATTCTCAAAAAATAAAAATCTGTTTAGTTAACAAATTTAACATAACTATAACATTTTATTTCGTGAAAAAAATGTTTACTGTTGATTATACAGTTCCCATCGACAACTATTATTTATAAATTCTATTTTAGACAATAACTTTACCGAGTTTTCAAATAATAATGAGAAATTTATCCAAAATACTAATATCAACAATATAATGAGTCTATGAAAATTGTTTTAACTGTTATTATGATATTACTGGAAATTGTACAAATGCAACTTATAAATTTTGGGTTAACACTACTAATTCATCCAAGAGTAGTAAAATATTTAAGTTATAACTTTCAACACTTAAAACCTTTTACTTCTAGCGAGAGGTGTCGCCAACAACTCTTTTTTATTTAAAAATCAAATGTATCTACTAATCTACCTACCTAACCGGTACTTTTACTAATACAACGTACATTTTATTATATTGAAATTATAAAAATTAACCTAATAAAATGTAAGTCATGTGAAAGGGTAAGACCTCTTATAAAAAAGACTTTAGTAATTTAGCATCGTTATGACCTAATCAATCGTTTACAAAATGCTTAGGTAATTATAAAAATTTTTTATTGAAGTCATGGCAAAACATTTTCATTTTAGACCAAGAATTATTATTTCTATTTAAAGACATATCTAAATAAAATGTATGTGGTATAATAAAAAAAAAGTGTTTTGACTTTTACTAACTCGTAATCTTTTCATAATTACTTATTAGTTGAAAAATAAATAATAGTTTAAATTTCTTAATTATGAAAAACCAATGTCTTATTCACTATTTCAAACTTCTTAAGTACATAATAATTATTTAATTTTCTAATTCATATCAAAATTGTTCATTGAATAACATTTTTGTTAGGTAAAATAAATAAACTGCTCTATTTATTAAAACTTTAATAATTATTATTAGATATATTTTATAGATAGCTGATAAAGTATACAACTTAATTTTTACAATAATGTATATAAAAAGAACATGGTTATTCATGGAAAAAGTATGCATGCCATTATAGTTTTTTTTATTAATTTAAAAATTAGCTCTTTGATGTACATATATGGTTTTTAGATAATAGCTCATGAAAACAAAATAGTTATTATTATTTTCTATTACGATAGCGTTGAACAAGATAGTATGACCAGTTTATAGGGCGAAAAATTCAAGAATAAATCCTAACTTGAATTAATTACGAAATAATTAGTTGATTTGTGAAATATACTCACTGGAGTACAAACTGTGTTCAGACAACCATTACTTAAATAAGTGAATCGCTTTTTTAATTTCCTACAAAACAAAATTATTTGACCTGATTGAAACACTTATTACGACTACAGAGCAAGGTGTTATTTTAAATAGAAAATAACATTAATTTTAGATTACTTTATAAAATTAGTTTAATTTACTCTACACATAGGATAAAAATTTTAGTGAACGTTATCCTATAAAACCATACATTACACATTAACAGTTGCTCTTAGCATAGTATCATTCTTGGGAATGTGATATTGAAGATCTTAAAAAATATTATTTTAAGTTGAGATGTTTCGGTTAAAATTTAAGATTAGGTAAAACTGATTAAAGCTTCAGATTAATATGGCTTCAACGATTTAAATAATTATGGTGGTTCAAAATCGATATATTTTTTAATTTAATATATGTGATAATTTAATTTATAAGATGTTTATTTTTTCAATTGATAAACAATCATTGGTACATGCCAATTGAAGTGTACAGGAGAATAATGGTAGTAGTACATTTTTTTTAATTTTTCAAGAAAGCAAAAACAAAGCAAAAAATAAATTCCTATATCTTAATAATTAAAAAAAAAAATAGACGTAATTTTTTTGATATTACTACTAATAAGCTATCAAATCAAACCATATAATCAAAATCGAAAATATGGATTATTACCGATTTTTCCCTGTGCTTTTTAATTGTTCAGAAAGTATGTTTACATAATTTTTACACATTTGGAAATTCTTAAATCATTAATAGAACTGTAATCATTAGACATTTATGTTAGAACAATGATTATGGTTGATAAATTGTTTTTGTTTGCTAATTATTAATACAAAAAACTATTTTATTATAATGCATAATTTGTAATTAGTTTAATAGAAACTGTTTTATTGACTAGATACAACTTAATAGTTATTAATGGTTATTCTTATAAACACAAGGTTGATTTTTTATCGGATATATTTAGTCTCTTAAAAGTTGTGTGTATTATGTTTCATCACGCAAATTACATGGTTTGATAACATTATAATTCCATGCATTGTTAGTTAAATTTCAGTAACATACATTTAATTGTTAGTAGACTCAGATTGAATAAGTGTTTTTTAATAATAATCGAAGTCAAGGAAAATTTTGTTTAAAACTATTTGATAACATTCCTAAAATATTATTAATATGTATTTGATACTAAATATGATTACCTTAGATAACACCACAACATAATAATAATTTTTAAACGATAAAATCTTTAATTTATAATGAGAACGGATTTAGACATTTAATAATTAACAGCTCGAATAATTATCTATTAACCTCCAGGATATTAGAATAACAAAACTGATTATAATTGGATAAGTGTTAATTTTTTATAACTTTTTTTCTATTTAATCGATTCTATTTAAACTTATTTCCAATAATTGAATACTTTTAAAACAAATAAAGTAGAACTTGTCCTCAGCACCATACAGCGGTCCAAACTAAATAAAAAAAATTTTAAATTTAAACAGCAATTAAATGCAACAAAGTTTCAGTATAACCCTGAAACTTTATATTATTCATTAGAACATATAGATAATATTTCATAGATGTTTCAATATTTTGAATTCATTCCAAAATCAAATTTTTGTTCGTCTAGAATTCAGTTTTGAACCGCGTCCACTCTTTTCAAATCTAATTTTAAGCACTATAAGGAGCTTTAAATATTAAGAATCAATCTATGAGCTTTATCATAATTAGCTTGAAGAATTAATCGAAAAATTAATTAAGTATTTTGATAACCTTAATAAAATATTTAACACTTGCATTAAAGAAATAAAAAAAGGTCATAGTTTTAATAATATCGTATTACATGTTAATTATTTGATTTAATTATTGGAATAAAACTAAAAATATTTGTATTAATTTAACAAAATATTTATACTGTATAAATCTATTATTGTTTTGATACACCTCCAAACTGTTCACATTTTTTATTGTTAATTTATTATTTAATATTGACAAAATATGAATCAAGTTCGTATTAATAGTATAATGAAAACTGATCAATTATGATTAATACTATTAAAAATTAATTATGTAAAAATTTATTTTAAACTAAAAAATATTAAAATGCTTTTAACTCAAAAGTCAGTCAGATTGAGTTTAATACTGACCTTGGTAAAATTATTCTTGAAATACGTATATGCTATTTTTAATAATTTGTATGAGTTTTTTAAATTAAATATTTTTTTATTTTTAAATTAATATTTAAAATCGTATTAACGAAGTTAAAAAAACACAATTAAATTCATTGTAAAAATGTTTCAGAGTAAAATTATATAAATATTTAACGGATCCAATTTTAGTAGATTTTCTAATGGGAAACCTTAAATAAAAGGAAAACCTTCTAGGAAATCATTAGTGAAACTTATTTTTTCCAAATGTATATTTTGTGCGACAACCTTGATATGACAAACATTACTTCATAGGCATT